CCCAGTCACAGTCCAGGTGTGACACACAAGGCGCCGAGGAGCAGGACAGAGAGAAGCTGGGAGCTCGGGAGTGAGCCCTGGATGAGGAGCTGCTCACCCCCAGCTGTGCCCTCCGAGCTTCCCTGGCCTTGGGTTCCTCATCTGGAACCCAGTGTCGACGCTACGACTTTATGGGGAATTATGAAAGGCCTTCGCTCAGTGTCCAGTGTGGAAGCGCAGCAATGATTAATCATGACTCTTCCTAAAAAAACATTAAGTGTCCCCTCCACCCTGCGGAAAGGACAAGGCAACTCCCCAGTGGGTGGAGACCGGGAGCTTTAGGTCCACCCTGGACTGGCAGGAGGGTGGGTTCTGGCTGCTCGGGTAATCCATGCTGTTTGTCCTGCTTTGCCCCCCGCCAGCCTCTGGCAGGGGGTGAGCCTTGACAGGAGCCTACTGACCCCTGGAACTTTAGGTCCCAACAGACCTGGGCCTCAGGCACCGGATGTGCCAGGAACCGCCTGGTGTGTGTGTGTGTGTGTGTGTGTGTGCGCGTATGTGTGTAAACAAGAAGGCAACACACTTTTTGCCCTTGAAGGGGCACAACTGGGGAGAATCTCACGCTCCCTGCCTGTGCCCACTTAATCTCCCCTCATGTTCCCGGGGGGGGGCAGCTGCAGCCGCCCTCTGGCCAGCTGGCTTTGGTCTGGACCCTGTGTGGGACACAGAGGCTTCAACTCAAATAGGATGAATAACTGCTCCATCCTATGCCAGCCCCAGGGCCCCTCCCCACCCTGCCCATTTTTATCAGGCCCTCCTGATGGCAGGGCTGTGTAATCTCCCCTGGAGGAGACGTGGGTCCCTGCACCCGCCTCGTCGGATGTGTTTGATCAGCTGTCGGTGGCCTGCGCCAGGGGAACCCGTGCAGAAGGGACGGTGTTTGAGCAGAGCGGCTGGGAGCCCTGGAGCCCTGGCCACGGCTGCTCCCCGCCTTCTGCAATCTCTTCTTGGAGGACAAAGGAAGGAGGAGGTTTGATAGACTAGCCCACAGGTGGCCTGGAGAACAGTGTCGCCCACAGAAGGAGACATGGAGTGGGCTTCCCCGGAGTGCAGAGGGCGGCGGGCCCTGCTTGGTCCCTCCTGCCATCCTCTGCACACCCAGCCCGCACTCCGTGCTCCAGGAGAAACCAAGACAGGGAGGTGCGGGCCCTCGAGCCGCCCAGAATCCCAGCAGCAACGACACCGTCTTGGAAATCGATCCTGTACCACTACAGGTCTGGGCTTCAAAGGTGGAGTGGGTGGGGTGGGGACATCCTAAGATTGCAGGTTTAGGGACAGGTAGGAAAGCTGGGCAAGGGCATCGCCCCAGTGGAGCTCAGGAATCCAGGCCAAGGGCTGCAGACAGGAAGGCGGCGGTGGGGGAGTGCAGGACAGTGCATCCCCAGCTGCGGAACCAGCTCCGCAGAACTCGGGGTGCGGCTCTTCTCCCTCTCAGGATGCGTGTCCAGGTCACAGTCGGTCTCCAGCAGCATTGACTGAGCTCCCGCTGGGCACACTATCCGCAAGAGCCTGTGAGGAGGGCCACGTCTCCGTGGACTGGGCACCTCTGCTCTGCAAGCACCAAGTGACAGGGCAGACAGCACGGGCGCTCGAGGAAGCTGAAGAACATTCCGGAGGAGAAGGGCTGGTTCCTACTGCCCACGTCTGAGAAGCCCCCTTCTAGAGACAACCGGAGTCCCGAGTGGGTGGCTTCCCAGGAAGAATACAGACCCTCGCTGGGGGCCAGGTCTCCGCAGGGCCACAGCTGTTTCCTTCCCACCCCAACTGTGTCTGAGCGTCAGTCCCTGAGGGTCAGAGGGACAACAAGCACCAGGAGGTGAGGGGACCTCTGGGCCTGGCACTGGCACTTTTCCCAGCTGCCCCTGATTTGTGTCCACCTGGGGCTCAGAGGTCTGGGCTTCGCCAGCTGTGCCAGGGGCTCCCCGAGCTCATGCTCCGGCCCTGGGCAGCTGTTTCCTGTCACTGCCCACTCTGTCTGGGATGGAGTCTGTGTCCAACCCAGGGCAGCCCAAAGTGCTCCCCCTTACTCTGGCCTTGGGCCCAGGGCCTCGTGGGGTCATCCCCTACCCTGGGGCCCTTTAAAGGTGCATAGTTAAGGCCACCACTTAGGAAGCTCCAGACTGTCAGCTGTTTAAAAATGTGAATAACTTCCTCCTCATGATCACGGTTAAGAGACTCCTTTAATGTCACTGGTCTAGTCCTAGGTGGGGCTGGGGACCCGGCCCATCCCCTCCCTCTGCCTGGTCCTGCCAACCTGCCCCGCAGCAGCCCTGCACTCTGCACACCCACCTTCTGAGGTCACGCTCACCCCTCCTGTTGCCGAACGCTCTCCAGGCTACTGCTCAAAGCTGGCCTGGCCAGGTCAGCCTCTCCCTGCAGGCGCCACCCAGGCAGAGGGCGCCCCCCCGCCCCAGTACAGGTGCATTTGGGCTGCTCCAGGACTGTCCCTAAGTGAGCACAGGACCCCCCGGCCCCCACCTCAGGCTAAAGGTCTGGTGGCCCTCGCCTCACAGGCTGGTCCCTCTGGCAGGCACCTCTTGCCTCCTGCAGGGCGCCCTTCCTTGTTCATCTGCTGGCTGCCAGCAATGGGACATTTTCAGCTGTCCCCTAGGAGAGGTCTCTGCCTATTTCATAGTTATCTGCTCAGCACTCGGTGCTTTGGGGGCAGCTGAGGTTCAAGAGGTACATGAAAAGTGCTGGGTGCTGTAGGATCCCTAAGGATGGAGGGAGGGAGGCTGGGGAGGCCGGGGAGGCCCACTCCCCTCAGCGCCAGGGGGCGCCAGAAGGGCTGACGTGTCTGCAGAGGACTTCATTAGCAACCAAATTTTTGCACTATATTCATTAAGTCCAGGCTTTTGATTCATCCTAGAATTCTGGGGGACAAGTTGACCATTTCCCCATTTTGTAGATGGGAGCAGGAGGAAGGACCTCAGAGGGTAAGCACTCGCCCAAGGTCACAGTCAGACAGTGGCACTGAGAGGAGGCACCATGGGGGCACACCATGGCCTTTGCTCTCAACACCCCCTGGCTCCCTGGGAAACGGCGAGGAGGGGAGACTCCATGAACTAGCGCGGCCTGGAAGTCCGCAACAGCCCCCAGGGGCAGCCTCCAGCCCGGGCTGTGCCTGTGCCAATGCCAGCTGCCCCAAACCGGAATGGACCCGCACCACCACAGTGCATCCCACACACCAGGCAGCGGAGATTCTTTGAAAGTGCATATCTTATTTACACGTTAGTGCAAGAGTGAGTGATCGTGATCCGACACAGAGAGAGCACGCGGGCGCTGGCTGTCCTGACCGGGTGGGGACGGGGGCGCCCCCCTTGCTAAGGCAAACCAGGAAGCAAGTTCCAGACAAGTCTCAGAGCCCGCTGGCTGCTGCACCTGGGGCTCAGGGGCTACCAGGTTCAAGGTTTCCATGGCAATCCATTAGCCCAGCCCCAAGTCTTTTTACTCTTTTCTTGAGCAGTACGGGGGTCAAAGCCAGGCACTAATCCTTAGAGGCAGGCACTCTACCACTGAGCCTCAGCCAAGCCCTTTTTATGGTTTGCTAAAAACTTTGAGCCAGGGTCTCCTTGAATCGCCACGGCCGGGTTCCTGCCGCCTCAGCACTGCTCCGCTGGGACTGCAGGTGTGTGCCACCGCACCTGGCTCCCAGGTCTGTCTTCTACTCCATTATTTCCCAAGTACCCCCGGGGCACACTGGGCCAAAGAGAACAGGGCTGCCCAGCCCTTCCTCTGGGGGAGGCGGGCAGACAAGCAGCCCAGGGTCTTCTCCCTCCCTGTTGGACTTTCTGGCCCCAACTTAACGGAAATGCTCTTCGTCTCCAGCACCTCCTGCCCCTCTGTAAGACTGTCAGCCTCCCCTTTCCTTAGTCATCTGGGTTCTCAGGCACATGAGATTTAATGGCACACTGTCTCCCCCCACAGATGTCATCAGTCCTTGGTATGGGAGAATTTAGGGACCCTCTTCCTCTTCCTTTCAATTCTGGAAGTCCCCTGATTGGGCTCACTATTCACTGGACCCCATTTCATCCCTTAGCACTATCAGAACTCTGGCCCAAGGGACAAGGCTGAGGTGCCTCCTGTGGCCGGGGGCAAGTCGGAGGCTTCCTTCCTCAGAGGGGCCTGCACCATGGGAAGCGGGCACTGCCACGGCAGCCCTGATGCTCATGGGCTCAAAGTTTTCCAAGCAACTTCAGAGACAGGAGAGATGGCTTTACAAATAGACCTTTGTCCCTGCCCTGTGGCTGCCCCCGGTCCAGGTTCTGCTCCTGTTTGGATGGTGGGTCGCACCTGCCTGCGGCACTCCATCATCGATTTCAGCCTCACTTACCTTGATGGGCAAATCCTGGTCTGTAACTGACCCCTCCACTCCCGCAGAAACAGACCCCACTGTGGCACCTGCCTCCGGCCCCTCCTCACCAGCAGGGTCATGAGCTCAGGGAGCAGAGGAGGCGTGTGGCCCCAAGGAACCAATGCACCTGTTCCCAGAAGTCCAGAGACTCCTCCAACTGCCACAAGTTCACCCAGGGACCGCACGGCACCTTCCATGGCAGAAGGGACACGGAACACCAGGGCCACAGGAAAGCAAGCACGTGGACAGAGGAGAGCCATTAGCAACGTCCTCCAGAGCAGCCACTCAGAAGGTCTCTTGGGCAAAGTGGGAGAACTGAAAAGGTCTCCTTGTAAAATGCAGGCCTGGGCTTCTCCAGAGAGCAACACTGTAAAGGCGGAGCTGGCCAGCACACAGGCCACTCGGAGCAGACACTGAATCCAGGACGGACTCCTGCGCTCCAACCAGAACAGCACCGCTGGGCGGGTGCCTCCTGCCAAGTGTGCCCAGGAAGAGCGTGCCCGATGGCCCAGCAGCAGGTCCGACTTTCTCTGTCCAGCCACCATCTGGGTCCCCATCAAAATCAGAGAAAGGACTCTCAGTGCCGGAAAGGATCTGACCCTTGGGCTTAAAACTTAGAGCGCTTTTATTCAGAACACTCCAGAACAAAACAGAATACACCCTACTCGCCCCACGGGCCCTCAGCAACCGGTTTTTAATGTTTTGCTTTCTGGAAGACAGAAACTTGGTGACGCTCACCACAGTTCCCACCCCTCCATGGCCTGCGAGGAGCCATGTTCTTACCACTGGGCCTAGAGCCTGTGCCACTCCACTGCCTTTCAGTGGGTCTCATCTGGTGCCAAGGGGAGATTCAGTGGCACTTTGCCACTTACAAATCAAGCGCTCTCCTGTCTGCCAGCCCCCAGGACTGGAAAAGCTTCAAACAGGGGCGGCCACGGCAGAACGGTGAGGTCTTTCCAGGGAGGTGAAGTCTTAGGGTTTGAGCACCATCTTCTGGTCAGTTTTTGGCTTCTGAAGCGGACTCTCCTTTAAAAATGCCATTTGCTTGAGGATAAGAAGATTCCAGGACTATGAGCTCAAGTGCTTTGCCCCATCAAAATGAGGACAGGCCTGGAGGCGGGAGCAGCTGTGGGTCGGGCTGTGGAAACTTGTCAGGGCACTCTGTGCCCAGCGGATTCCAGACACCAGTCAAGGTGAAGGCTCGACCCTCTGCCCTTCTAGCTGGGTGCCATCAGACCCTGCAGCAGCAACAAATGCCCCACCACAGTGGAGCCCGACCCCGGCTCTGCCTGTGGCCACGCGAGAACTTGTGCTTGGAAGGAAGTGCTGGGCTCTCGCTGCTGGCGGGTGAGGGTGAGCGCCCAGCTCAAGCGCTCTCCTATCCAAGGATTCAAGCCACACAAAGTGGCAGGGAGCCCTGTCTGTGTGTCAATGCTGCACTAGCCCATGTCAACCTTTGGGCATCAAGGGACAGTTAAATCCTAAACGGTAGGAATGAACAGTCATCTACTTCACCTCCTAATGGATTCCACAAACTATTAATTACCAGATTATATTTTAGGAACTAAAGACAAAAAGTTTTTTGAAATTTAGACTCAAAAAGATCACTGAACTTCGCTAAGTGTGCAGCCGGGGAGCCAGAGAGCAGCCGCCCACGAGGCGTACCACCGGGCAGCAGGCACAGCCAGGAGCTGCCCTGGCCACCCCTCCACAGACAGGCCCCTGCCTGCCTGCCAGGTGCTGGCTCAGTGGCAATGTCACATGCTCCAGAGGCAGCCACAAGCCAGGCCCCCTGGGTCAGTAGAAGTTTTAGCCTTGATCAGAGGAAGGGGGTGAGGAACATGGAAGAGCTGTGAGAGCCACCTTTCAGGTAAGGACACCAGGAGGAACACCACAGAAAGGCAGAGGCGGCCTCTTCAGCTGGACGGCCTCCCGTGGAGCACCTCCAGGAGAAGCCCTCCCCAGGCTTTGTTTGGGGAGGGGCTCCCTCTGCGGCCCAGCGAGGACCTGTGCTTCCTGCAGTGGTACCACTAGTGTGCTGGGCATGGTCAGCAGGATCTGGGGGACCCAAGCAGAGGGGAGAGTGGGAGAAGTGAGGACAGACAAGTGTGCTCTTGGCTGGGGTCCCTGGAGGGGGTGCTGGGCCCTGCTCTCATTTTCAAACAGCCAGGGGCACTGGAGTCCCTTGCAGCCACTTCGTGCCAGCCTGGTCCCCCAGCTAAATGCCCTGCCCGAGTAGGGCTGCAGCACAGCACACCTTCCTGGCTGGCCTGGTCACCAGCTCCCAACCCACTGCTCTTTCAGACTCTAATTCAGAAGCTAGACTTCCCTCAGGGCCAAGTGCTGTCACGGAGACCCGAGCAGCAGCCATGGGACGGAGGCTGTCTTCGGTGGAGGACGGAGTATTGGCACGGATGACTCAGACGTGGTGGGTTTCATGAGAGCAATGTAATTTCCGTCGGTTTTCCCAGGGAGATTGTCTAGGTTGGTGCTAAGCTAAGATGCTCGCCATAAAGGATAGCAGGGAGGGCAAAGGGCAAACTGCAGAGCTTCCCCTCTGGAGCCGATGCAGGGACCCCTCCGCCAGAGGAGCAGTCCCTCATTTGGCCTCGCCACAGATCAGGGTCACGGTACCATCCAGCAAGTCTTCCACAGTCACCGCCACGAGCTCAGAGCTGGTCTGAGTTGCCTGAGAATCAGGCAAAGTCACGAACACCTGCGACCCAGCAAGCTGTGTCTCCTCCAAAGTGATCACCTGCTCAGTTGGGGCCACTGGCTCAGGAGTTTGGATCACCTGAAAGGGAAAGACCGGAAGGCTGCTCTGGGCAGTGCCCACAGTCAGCTCCTCGAGTTTCCACCTCGTGCAGTAATGATGATATTTATGTTTCCCCCTGAGGAGAGCAATTACTTGTGCCTAATGGGAAGAGGCAAGCCTAACACCAGTGATGCAAAAGAGAAGGCGGCAGACAATTTCAATAACTCTACGCACCAAATTGCTATAATCTGCCCAGTACGCCGCCTCTGGGCGCCGGACTCTGTGATCACACCAGGGAACCCTGCCTTGGTCTCCCACACCGAGTTTTCCTGTCTCGAGGATGACAATGCGTAGGTAAGTGCCATGGAACAGGAGCCACTGAAGGTGGCTGGTCTCAGGTCTGAAACATGGCACCTAAAAAATTAAGTGGCCTGGGTGACGTGACAGCAGCCTGGACGCAAGGAAATGAAGTGATTCTTCAGAAGCCCAGGCAGAGGGCCTTCTCGGACCTCCGAGAGCTGCCAGCCTTCCTGGGGGCTGTGTGGCTACAGAGCTTGAGAAGCAGCTGAACAGATGAGCCGCGGCTCCTGCCAGCTCAGTCACCAGCTCAGTAGCTGGCTGGCCAGCACCCCAACCCTCCACGGGCCACACGCCACGCGCACTGTCTGCTAAGGCTGACCTGCCCCTGGTGGGAGAGCCAGTCTGTGGTTAGGCACTCCCAGCTCCGGCCCAACCTGCGCTTCAGTGCTTCTGACCTGTGGACCCCTGGACAGCTTGATTCCTTCAGTATTTTTAAACAAGAGTGCCCCCCAACCCCTGCCCAAGGAGGGCTCAGCCACCCGCTCCTGAGAAGGGGACAGCGGGCACAGCTGCTTCCCACGCTACAGGGTGAAGCCCAACAGTCTCCGGAAACAGCAGTTTCCAAGCTGGCTTTCTCTTTTAGGATTGGAGCCCTCCTTTTCTTCCTCTCCAAGGACATCTCACCAAGAACTCTAAGGAAATAAATACATAAATAAATAAAAGCAAAATAGCCTGGGTGACATGACAGCAGGCCTGTCACCTGGACTTCTGCCCACCTGACTTGCCCTTGTTCCCTAGAGGCCATAAAAACATGGTTTGCAAATGACTGACCTACACAACTGGACAGTGGGGCAGTCCAAGAGGCTGAAGTCCCCCTCAGTCTCAGCTCTCCCTAGCCCCTCTCCAGCTACTCAACATGGGCAGAGCCGAGTTTCCTTCCTTTTCTGCCCTCCTCTCTCTGGAAAAGATGGGAGGGAAGATACAAAGGGACCAGAGACAGACTGGACTGAGCTTGGCTTCAAAATCAAGAAGAGGCGGGCTTCTCACCAGGTGAGAGGCCCAGACACACAAGGTGTACATGCCCAGCCCAGGAGTCACCCATGGGCCTCACCTGATGGTGGTCCCTGCCCAACACGGGGTGTAGCCATTCCTCTCCACAGTTCCCTACAGCTCTGTTTGGTAAGAGGTGCAGGGACTCTTACGATCATGAATGTATTACCAGGGAGACCTTCAACCAAGGTCTAGGGAAGCCTTTGGAACCCCGCGTTCACATCCCGTGAATCTGATGGCCCCAGAGTCACCTGTACCATCTGTGAGGTGGCAGCCTGGGTTTCAGTGCCCACCATCTTTGGGTGGTCAGATTCCAGGTGGCCGTCCAGCTGTGCCTGGGAGGTGAAGAGCTCCCCACAGAGCTCACAGGGGAAGGTGCTCTCCGACTGCTTGAAGTGCTCCGTGGTGACATGGTGCTGCAGGGCTCCCGGGAAGCGGAACGTGGCCGCGCAGTACAAGCACCTGAATGGCTGGGTCCCTGAAGGAGGGAGGGGGAGAGATGCAAGTCGAGGTCTGGAGGGGCCTGAAGCTCGTACAATTTGGAAGGGCCTTCTTTATAAAATGGCAATGACATAAAACTAGACAGAGAGCTTTGGAAGGGTCTCCTGCAAGTGAGGTACCTTCAAAATACAGTTTAATTATTAACATCAGATAGAGGCTAGGCTTGCCTCTGCTGAAGCCCATTACTCGTTCCATGGTGGACAAGGACACTGATGAACGATTTCACCAAACCTAGGAAGTTCATTTTCACATCTCTGAGGCGGGACCAATGGCACCTCTGACTGCTGTGGCTAGGCAGCAGTGGGGTCACTTGTCGATGGCTGTGCATGCACAAGCACGGGCTCACAGGACGAGTGTCCATGACTGGACGACATCCCTGGGATAGGACGGTGCGCACTTTCCACGAGTAGTACCCGAACAGTCCAGGGGGAGGGGCAGGTGATGAAGGGTCAGCTACATCCCAGAGCAACAATCAAAAGCAGTCTATGCGGTATTTCAGAGATCAAAACTAAGAGTCTCCAGTTTTCTGGAGGAATCTTATGCCTGTGCTTGGTCACCAATGCTATTGATGGCAGAGCAAACATGGTGTGACAAACCTTGACAACTGGAACTGAAAGTTACTGGAGAAGCTGGCTTCTTCCCTTCATCGACTTACTCTTAGGTTTTCCTTTTTATGTATGCACACCATGCGTGTGACAGGATAAAGATCCATGTCAAGTTAAGACTAAAATAGCACTTAGCATAACCTACAGATTCAAGTAATAAGAAAGCAGAGTTTAATTGGCAGCACTTAATGGTTCATTAAAAATGGTACAACTTAGTATCTGGCCTTCTAGAGTTGATGGAATACGGGCACAATAATGACAGCCGTGGCTACACCGGGTGCTCACCAGTGCCAGGCCTAAAGGCTTTCGCAGCCACCTGATGAAGTGAGCACTATGATTCCCATCTGCCAGATGAGGAAACCGAAGCACAATCCAGTGGCTTGGCCTGGAGCTCAGCGGTAGAGCACTTGCCTCCCACGTGCAAGGCCCTGGGTTCAATCCTCAGCACCACATAAAAATAAATAAATAAAGGTATTGTGCCCGACTACAACTACTTTAAATAAATAAATAAACAAACAAATAAATAAATATTCAAAAAAAAAAAGAAAGAAAAGACGAGGCTTGCACTCAGTCTAGCTCAGAGGTATGCAGAAGGGGCACTGACCTGAATGCTGGCACTTGACGTGGACCTGCAGCAGAGCTGGTGTGGGGAAGAGCTCCTTACACTGGTCACATTCGTGGAACTTCATATCTGTGAAGTGTATAAGGAAAAAGGTGGGAAAAGACAAAAAGGAGGGCTCTGCCAAGGCCAGAGAGTGAACAGCTTGGGGTGGGGTGAGGACTGACCCTCTGTACAAGATCCACCAGGGCAAGAGGCTCACACCTCGTGCAACCTAGTCGTAAAGAGCAGGCTCTGGTCCAGACTGTCCAGGTGCAAGAGGGCAGTGGGAGTTAACAAGAAAACACACACGGAGTACCCGGCTGCCCCCTGTACACAGAAAATGCTCCGTGACTGACAGCTGTTGTGATTATCTCTCAATTTACCTGCAAGGCAGGTATTAGTAACTCCCATTCTGCGGAGGAGGAAACAGGCTCGGCAAAGTCACTTGCCAAGGTCATGCAGCTGGGTAAGTGCTGGCATTGGGGTTTCCTGGGCCCGTCTGCCACCAAAGCTGGCACCCTTCCCATGTGCCTGACTGGTCCTCACTCAGGGGTTGGCAGGAGCTCACACTGCCCTCGGTGTCCAGGTTTGAGAATCACGGCCACTCAAGCTACTGTTACTGAGGGTTGGGACTGGCGTCCTTTCAGGTATGCCGGGCAGAACAGAGGCGACCACCACAGCACGCCGCCCTGAGGTGCGGGAGCCAGGACATCAAGACCCTCCCACGCATCTGCTCACAGGCGCTCTGTGCCCCCGCCTCACCTGCGTGCTCGGCCTTGATGTGCTTCTTGTGTTCCATGGTGTTGGGAGAGGTCTTGTCGCAGGAGCTGCACTGCAACGGTGAGAACCTAGACGATCGGTGGTTCTGAGCAGCAAACACATCCGGATGGTGGGTCCGATTATGGTACCACAGACCAGACAATTGCTGTAAGAAATCAGGCAAATGTTAGGTCTTAGAAAATTCTAGCAAGCCAGGAAGCTCACAAGATCCCCATAAAGGAAAATAGATTCTGAGATAAGCTCATGGATCTACTGCCATATGTTTTTTGGAGTCCTGGTGATTGAACCCAGGGGCACTCTACCACCAAGCTACATCCCTGGCCCTTTTATTCAAATTTTCAGACAGAGTCTAAGTTGCCCAGGCTGGCCTTAAACTTGCAATCCTCCTGCCTCAGCCTCCCGAGTCACTGCGACCCACCTAAGTGCACACTGACCTATCTTGCTGAGTGCTGACTGGAGAGTCAGGCAACTAGGAGTAGAGAGGCCATTCTGGCAGGGCTCAACTGAGTCCCCCGTAAGTCTTTAGGACTAAACCCTGGCCACCAGCAGGCACAGATGTTCTTCACCCTGAGCTCTATCTCACCGCTTCCCAGAGGCCTAGAGGTGAGGCAGAGCAGCCTGCCAGGGAGGAGCCTGGGAGTCCAGAAGCAAGCGTCACTGCCTTTCCCAGGCTCCAGAACAGCACTGGGAACTCTCCATGCAATTTCCTGGTCTCTAGACACCAAGCCCAGGCCCTCCTCAGCTCCATCACACCAATGTCACAGCACAAGGCCGGGCACAAAGTTAGCTCTCATTTCTAAATCAGCTGCTGGGCCTCTGTCCACACCTACATCACAGGAGACAGCAAGGACCATTCTTTTCTCTGGGACTGATTTCTGATAGATATGGTTTCTTTTTAGATCTACATAGGGCTTCACCTTAATTATGTAACAAATTCTAAAGTAAAAATGCAGAGTCCTTCCCTGGGAGTTAAACAATTGTGCTAAACAAGGCGACCAAGGCACTGTACTGCTCCTTGTTGCTATTTTCATATCCCTTGTGCATCAATAGGTTCTATAGAACATGAGCGTCCAAGGGGAAGAACAGCATCCCATTTTTGATAAGATGAAGTCGAAGAGAAAAGGGGTGAGAATTTTCTGCTCTAATGACAGACGGCTCCCCCACTGCATCACTTGACCAGATTTCAGAGAATCTCAATTAGAAGTTGCTTTTTAAAATCCAGTGGTGGGGATGGAACCTAGGGTCTTGCACATACCGAACACACGCTCCACCTCTGAGCTATACCCCAGCCCATGACACACAAGGATCGGTCCTATCGTAACATTTGGGGATGAGCTGGGACAACCTGCAAGTCACAAACACAGGAACCAGGGAACCGAATGGGGCAGGGACTGGAGGAACAACTCCCAGGGCCCGAGGTCACCTGGTAGGCCTTGTTGCAGATCCCACAGCTGAAGGGCTTCCCTCCGACGTGGGTCACCATGTGGCGCTCCAGCATGGAAGGGGCACTGAAGATCTTCCCACACGTGGGGCAGGGGTGGTACTCCTTGGAGTGCACCTCATGGATGTGCTTCCGGTGATCTTGCAGAGTGGGGAAACTCATCCTGCATTTCTTGCAATCGTAGGGATCTTCTATGTCTAGTTCCCGGAGGGGCAGCCATAAGAGAAAGAGGCAGAGGGGAGAAAAACAGCACAAGCAGCAATCAGTAATGCAACGCTGTTTGGGTGTCACACAGCGTCATAGACTCCGGGGACCTGAGGTCATTGGAGCAAGCTCCAGGAGGTGGGCCTGGTTCCTCTGAGCTCCTGGACTGACACCCCTGCAGCATCCGGCAGTTTGTCCAATTCCTCATTTAATCTATTCGACTACTTTCCAGGGAACATCGTGGTTGCTCCTCACGTTCGCAGTGGCGTTTTGAGTTTTCTAATTCCTGGTGGAGATGCCCACACACTCCCCAGAGCATCACTATTTCTTTTGTCATCAGTAGCACAAGGAGTACTTCCTCACTGAGCTTCAGACTCAATAGCAAGAAGCCTCTGCATGGAGGAGGGCAATGAGCGCCCCCAGAGACACCTAGCCCTGCCCCCAGCCCGTGGGCAGCTTCTATTATCATGCTTAATTTAGAGATTAGAAAAGTCAAGGTTTAAAGAGTTAAGTTAGCACCTTCCTGCCCAAGGGCACACCCAGAGCCCACTCTTGAAGCACATGCTTCACTGGACATGCCAGCTCCCCAGTGGGACCTCAAAATATGGAGGACTAATAAAGAACGTACTGGCCCTATGGCTGGCAGAGAACGTCAGTCTTTTTCTTAAAGCAATAGAAAGCAAAATGTTTTAATAGTAAAATCCTTGCCCACACGAAAGGCCCAGCCATAGGCCAACCTTACTGGTGCACTGACCAGATTCACTCAGGGATCCTGACAGGCAGCGGCGGGCAGCACCATTAACTAGTCTCCCTGTGGACAAGAGCTCTTAAAATTGCAGTTTCACGCTGCCTTTAAAGGCTCTCTGACACAGGTTTCCGCAGCAAGAAACGGGAGAGCTCAGTGCAGGGGACGAGGGGCCTGGGTCCTGTGCTGCTGGGGAGGACCGACTCTGGGATGTGGCCAACTATTTTGGGTCCTCTCCATTCTGAAAATTAATGTCTTCCCCTTTCCTGATTCTCATGTAATGCTACTGAGAAAAGAAGACTAAAGCGGATGTCACTTCAAGAGGTTGGCACTGGATCCAAGTCAAGACCTACTCTGGAGGTCTACTGTAAGTGGACTTTTAGCAGTCTTCGTCAACTCCCTGGGGCTAGGGGCCACGCTTTGTATTCTTCCCGCACAACCCAGTGTCCAGCCACATGCTGGCATTGAGGAGCTCTGGCAAAGTCCACGGTGGCTGGGCTGAAAGCAGACGTGGATGTGTTCACATAAAGCAGATGTTGTGAGACACTGTTTGCCAACAGCTAGAAAGTGGTGTGTGGGAGGAAGGATGGGCAGGGGGAAGGAGAGAGGAGGAAGGTATGCAAGGTACCTGGCATGCCAAGAGATAAGCTTGATGGTGACAGATGGTACCTGACAGGGATGCTCTTATCACCAACCGTAATATCTCATCTATTGAGCCACTTCTATGTGTGAGGGTGACACGTCTCGCATCTGTGGTAGTGAGATCTCATTTAATCCTTACAAGAATCCAAGGTGGTGGTATTATCATGTGCTCTAGTTTGGAAGGGGCACATGCAGCTTAGGAAGGGAAGGCAATTTGAAAAGTAAGTGGCAGGGTCAGGATTCAAGATCAAGCCCAGGACACTTGCTGTGCTGTGTTGGTCACATTCTGGCTGCAAAAAGCGAGGCTGAAGGAAACATGAGGGGCAGCAGCACTTCTTTTCCTCGTGTGTGTGTGCGCGTGTGTGCATGTGTTGGTGCTAGTAGAAAGGGAGAAGGATGGGGGAAGACCCTACTAATTGAGGGAAGTTCAACAACACTTGGAACAGAACGGTGGGCACCATGCAGGACGCAGGCTCCACCCAGGAAAGGGCTGGGCTGCCCTTGCGGGAGGCAGATGTGAGCACAGGACGAGGAGGAGGATGAGGACTGACACAAACCCTCTGGTGCCCTTGAGCCGCCAGCACGGAGGCTCTGTCCTTCCAGCACAGTCTACCTTTGCAGCTGAACAGCAGCAGGCGGGCTGGAGCAGGACAAGGGAAAGCCTTGGCAGAGAGAAGCCAGCGTCATAGGGGGACAGGTTAAAAATGGGATTCTTCCTGAAACAGGACCAGAGGACTGTGGGTCTGCAGGAGAATGTGGGAAGGCAGGGCACTGAATGGGGCCAGTTCTGGTGGGGTGAACCTCTGTATGACTGCTCCACGTTTTCTCAGGGCCAGGTGTAGCCCTGCACAACTGACATCCATCATCTCAGTACATACTGTGAAAGGTGTGCAGGTGGATGGAGAGGCCGTTGGCTTGCCGGAAGCCCTTGCCACAGTCCCTGCAGACGTATGGCTTGTCCCCAGTGTGGGTCCTCACGTGGCGGGACAGCTCAATGGACTGGGCGAACACCGCATCACAGTACTGGCAGGCGTACATCTTTCCTGCAAATACACACGAGCTTGTGAGTGCCAGCACTGAACTCTCATGGCATTCCTACAGGCAAAATTCTGAGGCACACACCAGGGAACTGTCATCTGGAGATGACATTAAAACCTCAGACAATCTATAATCCACCGGGTGAGGTCTGCAGCCTCCTGTCAACACCTGTCCCTCACCAACAGCCCCTCACCCCCGACAGATGCTGAGCACAGCTGCATGGAGGAGCAGGGTTCTCATCACACAAGAGAAGGCCTCTGTTTGTCAGACCACCCCGAGGATGGAAGGGCTCGTTCCACCTCTGTCAAGAGATAAATCCTTGTGTTCAGAAACGCGGGAGTCCAGCCTCCTCACGAGACGCGCAGTGTGATCTGGAGCTGCACACCAAGGTGGGACGTGGCTGGAGGAGGAATGACTTGCTCTAAAGTCAGTGCACATCCCTGGGCTTCTCAACTTTCTCACACACATAATGAAAATGTAACTGCTGGGCTGCCAAAGACTGGAAAGGTCAAGAGCAGCTCTGGAGGAGCGGCATTTGTAAAGAGGCGCACCGGCCGAGGAGTGTGGGCGCCTGAGGAGTGCGGGTGACGCAGGCCCGCGGCACCCAGGGCAGACAGCCCCATTTCCACTTTCACCTATTGGGCTTTGAAAGAGATTTTTTTTTTGGGGAAAAAAAGGTTTCTTGAATCAAAAGTTGAAATGATTGAGAATCCTGAGGCTTTGTCCTTGACCTTCTGCATCCCTTTCTAGATGACCTCATCTCAGAGCCCTGCACACTGCCTTGCTGACAGCGCCACCCTTTGCCACAACTCCAGGCTCAGACACCAGCTTCCTGTCTGCCTGTCCACTCAGAGCTCTTCCCCCCACATCTGCCCCCTCACAATCAGCTCCTGCTGCTCTGGCCCCACCCCCCCACGCAGGCCCAGGCCCCCAATCCCACCTCAGTAAGCGCAGGGTCATTCACTCAGCTGTCCAGGCCCAAGCCCCAAGTCATGCCCCTGTCCTCTCTTCCCCCTGCACCCACATCCAACCCATCCTGTCACCTCTGCTTTCAAAAACATATCCTCAGCCAGGCATGGTGGTGCACACCTGCAATCCCAGCGGCTCAGGAGGCCGAGGCCCTAAGCAACTCAATGAGACCTGTCTCTAAATAAAATATAAAAGGGCTGGGGTGTGGCTCAGTAGCTAAGTGCCCCTGGGTTAAGTCCCCAGTACCCCCCAAAATAAATAAATAATAATAAATAAATCTGTGTGTGTGTGTGTGTGTGTATCTCCTCAAACTTGAATGCTTTTCCAACCCTAATACAACTCTAGTTGAAAACTACATCCTCTCTCCATTGACTGCCACAAGCGCCTGCCACTGTCTATGTATATTACACTCCAGTCCTGAAACAGTTCACTGTTGAAAGTGGGCAGAAGTAACCTCTAAGAATGTAACCAGATCCCATCACTTTGCTCAAAACCCTCTTAGGGCAGAATAATGGCTTCCCAAATGGCCACGTCCTAAGCCCTGGAAATGGTAACTGTGCGAAAGAATCTGTGCCTGAGTTAAGCATCTTGATCTCATTCTGTCTCTCCAGGGGCCCTGTGGAATCACAGCATTCTGGTAAGAGGGAGGACAGAGAGCCCAAGGAGGGGGCATGGTGATAGAGCAGAGGCTGAAGTGATGTGGCCGAGAGCCCAGGATGACAGGCAGACTCTAGATGCTGGGAAAGGCAAGGAGGGGATCCCCCCTTGTACCCCCACAGGGAACACAACTCTGCTGAGCCCTTGACTTAGCCTCATAATATTAATTTTTGGACTTCCAACCTCCAGAATGGGAAGATAATACTTCTGTGTTGTTTTAAGCCATAATTTGTGGTAATATGTTAAAGCAGCATAGAAACTAACATTGTTCACATCAAAGCCAAAGTCCTCAGCTGGACTAGTCAGACCTTACGGGACCTGGCCCTCTGGCTTTCTCCCTTAACACGCTGTTCTCACGGATGCTGACTTGGGAAGCTCCTTCCCACTCTGGGGAGGGGCTCTCCACTGGCTGCGGTGCTCACTTTGATCAGATTTCACCTGGCACACCTCCCTCAGAGGCTTCCCTGATGACGTGAATAGTGCCCATCCCAGTCCTGTCATGCCTGTGGCCTACCTGGCCTGGCCTTTCTTCACAGCAATGGCTACACTCTGGATTTCTGTTACACATTGACTTCTTTGTTGTTTGTTTTACCCACTGGAGTGCAAGCTCCGTGGGAGCACAGTGTGTGCACCTACAACTTCTCCATGCCCAGAAGAGTACTTAAGAAACCCATTCATCAGTCAACTTCGAGGGTCTACAATTGCCAAATACCATTCCAAGTTCCCTGAATTCAGCAATAGGGGAAAAAAGACCAACAGCTCTACCTGCATGAAGCCAGCCTTCTAACAAGGGAGACTAACTGCAAGCAGACTACACGAACCCAGCAGAGACTCATCCCACAGTAAGCACAGTGGGAAAAGTAACACAAGGTAGCAGGCTGTGGGTGAGGTTCCAGTGGTGCAGGGAGGGACTCCAGCAGCTGTCGGTGAGGAAATCCTGGAAGGAGCCGGGAAGCACGGAGACATCTGAAAGGAGGCGTCCCAAGAAATGGACAGAGTCCTGGAGCAAGTGCCCAACAGGCCTGAAGCCTGGGAAGGAAACTAGAGTGGGCAGGACAGAGTGGGTGGGCAGGAGCAAGGAGAGCCAGGGAGGAGCCCACAGACTGGGGGCAGCTGCAGAAGGACTCCAGAGTCACACTGCAGGAGACTAAAAGCCACGTGGTCTTGAGCAGAAAAGAGACCGGATATGGTTTAGTTTTAAAATGGTGCAAGCAAGGAGACAGGTAAGGAGACTACGGTGAGCATCGGGGAGGTGACGGGCACCATTACATGCATGGAAACACTCCAGACTCCATGCAGAGCCCTCCAAAGGCTCTCCTGACAACACACTGCCTCTCCCCCGCCTGCACCAGAGCACCCTCTGCACTCTGCCGTGCTGTCCCTGCTGCCCGCGGGCGAGTGCTGGAGTCCCAGCCCACCCGTAGCTCCTGGCGCTGCCTGACCCACAGCCAGTGCTTCCCCAGGTCTTTCTCATGCTTGAACCACACATCAGAACTCAGAGAACCCCTGGCCTCCACACACTGTAAAGCCTCAGTCATAAACAACGTCAGCCAGCCTCTCCAGAAACCCTCCCAGCAGGCACTGCACGACCTGGGGGCAGACGGGAGTCCTCACTGTGTGCCAGATTTTAAGTCCTGTTTTCGTTTTTAATTTCCCTGACATGTAGACCAGGCCTAAGGCTTAATGGGGTTTTGGCAGGTCACATGCTGCAAGGCCGCAGGAGGAAGGGGAGCGCGTTGGTGCCTCACCTTCTGAATGCTTCTTCTTGGTGTGGTAGGCCAGGGCGGAGGCCTGCGTGAAGGTCATGAGGCAGTGCTTGCACATGAACGGGCGGTCCCCGGTGTGCAGGCGGAGATGGTTCTTCAGGGTGGAGTTGGCTGCAAACTTGGCGCCACACTCTTCACAGGAGAAAGGCTTCTCATCAAAGTGCTCTGTCAGCTTGTGGTACTGCATGCCTGAGAGGCCAGGAAGGGAGCAGAAGAGACACTGGCCATCAGCATTAGGCATCAGGAGGATGCTGCAAGCACCACCTCGGCCACGCCTGCTGTTCAGCTGCCCACCACCGGTCCCGAGTCCCCTTGGAGTGACTCCTGGTTGCATCAGACATTAAATGATTCCAGGTTTACCTCTTTCCCCATTCTTCAACAGGACCCAGCCCCCCAAAGTAGAGAAACACACCTCTATTATGTTTCATTATGTTTACCCAACACCTGGGACAAGGGAAACAATTCCGACTCTGCATTCCACGATTTCTGTGACTCTAATTCATTCCAAGAAGCGGGTAGTACATGGAACCTAAGAGTCAGGTGCTGAATGGCTGGCCATCATTATTATGAATAGTGACCACCTGAGTTTCTGTATGTGTACTCTCCTGCCGCTGCTGCGGGAGATGCTGAGCTCTGCTGCCTTAAAACTTCAAAACAATCTAAAAAAGTAAACAGCATCAGGGTGTCTGTGGGACAGATTGGGAAATCACAGCTCAGGAAGCTGATTCCAGAGCTCGTGCTTCCTCTGAAATATCATCCTGCTTCTGAGAGAGCCTGCTGTTTTCAGAGCCCGTCCATATCCTCCTGGCACACCCAGGGCCCCACTATGACCCCCGCAATGGTACCTGAGGCATGGGCAAATTCTCTCCCACAGAGGTCGCATGTCACCGGAAGCCGCTTCTTCTTCTTCTTGGGGACTTCGGGCTCGGCCCCTGCACCTGCACCGCGGGCCTCCGGCTGCTGTGTGCCCAGCTCCTTCTCGGCCTCCTTGGCCTCACTGCCGTCCTTGCGCTGCACCTGTCTGCTCTTGGCCACGCGGCAGCGCTTCATGTGCACCTTCAGGCGGCAGTAGAAATGGAAGCTCTTGTCACAGGCCTTGCAGATGAAGCTCTTCTTGGCAGAGTCGGGAGAGGCAACTGTGTCTGCTTCTTGCTGCTCTGGCAGGGGACCCGTCTCTCCCTGGCTACCTAGGCCTGCAGCCTGGCTGTCTTCCTTGGCCTCATTTTCCCTGTTGCTGGGGCCAGGGTGGAATCTATTGTGCACTTTCCACGCTCCCTGCTCTCCGTCTTCCTTGGTTAGGAGACCTGCAGGAGGGAGAAACCTTAGGGCTCTGGGAATCCTGTTCCTCTGTTGCTTTATAACGTTTCTAACACACTCTCAGAGGAGAATGGAGACTACTTGGGATCCTCAAAAAACTCTCAAGTAATATCACAGTTTATTTCCCAATAAACACAAGTAGCACCACGTACCCGTGCCTCTTGGCTGCATTAGGTGTTGAGAGCATACAAAAGGAATAAATAACTTGAGGTATGATGCTCTCTCATATAAGCAGCTGCCTCTTTTCCTCAGTAAGAAAGAGCCTGGGGCCTAACAAATCCCCAGCCCCATTCCTTACCAATGTGTGCCAGCTCCTGCATGACAGGCTGCAGGCCTGGGAAAGACTTGTGGACACTGCACAGGAGGCGGCAGATTTCAATGGCTGAGACTGATTTCTCCTTGGCTCTGCTCAGCACTGCTCTCAGGGAAGCTTCGGGGCTGGCCGTTTCAGAGGAAATATTCAGAATCTAAATGAATACCATGAGACAAAGGTATGGGGTTAATACCCCAAGATTTTCTCCATAGTTTTCAACTTAAAAAAAATCTAGTTCCAGGGCTGGGGTTGTGGCTCAGTGGTAGAGCACTTGCCTAGCATGCATGAGGCACTGAGTTGGATCCCCAGCACCACCCAAAACAACAACAAAAAAGGAAAACAAACACCATAAAGGTATTGTGTCCATCTACAACTAAAAATATTTTTTAAAAAAATCTAGTTCCAGAAGATACCTCTGCATCTCTAAGTAGCTCACACCTGTCCTCATGACATGTGTAAAGGAGAGCCTTGTTTTCCAAGCGACAGGGAAATTAACAAAACACAAAAAGAAGCACACGTAGAGATGAACTGAAACACAAAGCAGGCACAAACAGGGAGGACTCAGCATTTTCTCTAAGAGTTCTCTCAGCTCTGGGAGCTCCGAGAGCTTTCCTAGATCTTAACCCTGGAAGCCTGGAGAGCAACAGGGCTTGGAGCTGGTGTTTCTGTCGTGGAGATCGGGATGATCTTCCATAATATCCAATTGTCTCCGTGTCTGGAAGTAATTCTGCGCTATCAGGGGCTTCATATTTTTAGACACTTAGATGTGCCCTTTTAAACATCATTTTCTTTCATAAAGAAACTCGGCGTTTTAAAGCAGGTTCAAATAGGGGCTTTAAAGAGGCCAAGAATCTGATTTCAAAGCTGTCCTCTTTCAGAACGTCAGAGCTATCAGCAGAGAGTCGGCATACTGAGAAAATAAAGCAAAACCATCCACAGATGGCCACACGGAATTTTCATTTTGGAAGATATTTTATTTCTGCTCTTTTCAAGTCCATCTAAATAAACCTGATGTCCCTGGAGGCAGGCATGAGACTAATTAGTGAGGCTAAAACTGATCAACTGCAGAAGTCCGCGCTCTGAAGTACTGCTGTGCTGGGGACACGGGCACAGGAGCCCTGCCTCCCACACCCGGCAGGAACACGTGCCACCATCCACCCACTAGGGCCAAAGCAAGGGGCCAGTCCCTGTGGGATGGTGAGAAACCTGTCCTTCTGCACACCTTCCAAGCCTACCTGGATGGAAAGAACACCAGGTGAATTTGTAGTCCAATTTTCTGTTTCTTTATTGTTCTTTCCTGCTAAAATGCACATAAACGGACCTCCACCAATCACCCCAATCCCACCTGGTTTTTCTGGGATGCTAGCCACATTGTGAGAAGCCTTACAGAAAATGAGCTGGCACTGTTTGCTAGCCCATATGGGCCAAAGCTTTGTTCTATCTATGTTTACCATGGCTCTTTCAAGAAGCCAGAAAAGAACATGCAATAAGACCAACTTTACTTTTCCTCATCTGAGAGAAGTTGCTTCTTAGACTAGGTCCGAGAACAGAACCATAGCTTCCCCTGAGATGTTCCTAGGTTTAGACAGTTGGAATAAATGTACGTTTGAGTTGCAAAACTGGGCTCAAGCCTGGCTTTACCTTGTTAACCTTAACTGTGTGGAGCTGAACTCCTTTGTCCATAAAATGTGATGACATCACCTGCCACTTAGAGTTGGAGAACTAAAAAGGCAAAGGTGCTATAAAGAGCTTCGCACAGGCGAGGCACAAAGCAGGTCCTCTGCAGAGGGTGGCTCCTCCCCTGGGAATGAGGACAGCCCCAAGCTTCAACCCAGTAGAACTCTCCAGAATTAGACTTGCTGTTTATTTCCCTGCACCTCTTTCATGGTCTCAGCCAGGTGCTCCTCCTCTGGGGACAAGCACTTGCGCTCGCCCCTCTGTTGGATGGCTTCTGCGATCAACTTGTAATGCCTCAGGACTGTTTCTAAGGCAGCATTTTCTGGGGCAGTCACTGAAAGAAAGGGAGATTGGAAACTGAGTCAAGCCATGAGCGCCATTTCCTCCTTCCCCTTCCTCGACTCAGTTCCTCCTAATAAGAACACATTCCACCTGTCTTGGTTGGGGTGACAAAAATGGTAGATAGGACTGTAATCAGAATGTGATAATGAATGTAAGCTTAGAATAATTACTGCATAATTTTAAAAAAAGGTTTAAAAATGCCTATTTTTTTTTAATTGCCAGTCCTTACTTTTTAAAAACTTGACACAGAAATGACACATATTTGTGGAGTCCTGGTGATGTTTTGATACATGGACACACTGGGTGATGCTTAGATCAGGGTAGGCAGAGCTATCTGCTCACTTGTCATTTCTCTGAACACGTTCAAAAGCCTTCTTCTAGCTTTCCAGAAACATAAGGACTCTGTCATTACTTACACCTGCCCTACTGTGCAACAGAAGACCAGAACTTACAGGTTGTTACACCCAAGGGTAGGATGTGGGTGACACCATAAGAACTCTTTTCACTCCTGGGAAGATGGACAATCGCCTCTAGTGGCAGAGGTCAGGTAACTTACCCGCCTGGAAAAAAGCATCCGCACCAGGCTCCCTTCCTATTTCCTCCATGAGCAGGTTCAATGGACAGGCCTTTGTCTCCTGGGCCACCAGCAGCAGCTGCCAAATGGCTGTCGCAGAGAGAGTCTGCTTTTCTAGGACTGCTGACATCAAGGAGCTGAAACCACCGGAGCCAGGTTCCCGTTTCACAAGGCTCTCCATGACCTTTAAGATGCAGCACAAACGCACACTTAGGGGCTGGGTGTGGCTCAGTGGCAGAGGCTCACCTGGCACGTTCGTGTGAGGCACTGGTCCCGAGCCATAGCACCATATAAAAATAAATAAATAAAATAAAGTTTTAAGGGAAAAAAAGAAACAATCACAAACAAAAATGGGTGTTTTGGAGAATTCTAGCCCTGGGCTGGGTACAGAGCTACAAGTCTGGGCATTGGGTTATGGCGAACACCTCTGAGGAGGTTTTCAACATCCTCACCTCTCTGAATAGAAGATTTCTTTTTTAATTAAATTTACTGGGGGGGGGGGGTTGGGAGTGTAGCTGTAGCTCACTGATACAGTGCTTGCTTAGCATCATGAGACCCTGGATTCAATTTCTGGTATCAAAAAAAAATTCTTTTTTTTTTTTTTTTTGATACCAGGGATTGAACCCAGGAGTGCTTAACCACTGAGCCATATCCCCAGCACTTTTTAAATATCTTTTTAATTTAGAGACAGAGTCTCACTAAGTTGCTTAGGGCCTCCCTAAGTTGCTAAGGCTGTCTTCAAACTCAGGATCCTCCTGCCTCAGCCTCTGGAGCCACTGAGATTACAGGTGTGCGTCACTACACCTGGCTCTTTCCCCCCCATTTTTTAACTGAGAGGATGTCTTAATACATGACAAAGTTCTTCATTCTTCCTTTCGAATATCTTTCCTTCTTACCATAGAAATTAGAATATATTCTATTTATTATTCTGCCTTAGAAAATGAGTCACCTTAGGCCAGGTGTGGTGGCGTATGTCTATAATCCCAGTGGCTTGGGAGGCTGAGGCAGGAGGATCATGAGTGCGAAGCCAGCCCCAGCAACTTAGCAAGGCCCTAAGCAACTCAGTGAGACCTTGTCTCTAAATACAGAAAAAGGGCTGGGGATTTGGCTCAGTGGTTAAGTGCCCCTGGGGTTCAATCCTCAGTACCAAAAGAAAAAGAAAAAGAATGAATTAGCATTTCAACATGGTCAGGTATATGCATTTATAGAAGACATTCAAGTGTGTGTGTGTGTGTTTTTACATTTTTCCTTCCCTCCCTCCCTCCCTTACCTCTCTTTCTGCAGGGGCTAAACTCTTCATATGTGAGATCACCTTTAGCAACACCTGGTTGTCTGTGAAAATCTCCGAGAGGTTTTCATGATAGCGTCTCAACAGCTCAGTCCCATAATCATCAGAGCTCGGCTGGACTGTAAGAGTATCAGCAAAACAATCATGTTTGATGCAACAAAACCTCCCCAGGGCTTCTCTCACAGAAGATTAGGCATTTACAGATGAGAAGGAGAAAGACCAGCGCAAGAGGTGCTCTGCTACAGAGCAGGGGTCAGCAGCTGGCCTGGGGCTCAGAGCTTCTCTGGTCGACACTTAATCACCTGGTGCTTCAGGGTCACAAAACCACTAGCACTTTGGAAGTCAGTGCCTGCTGGTGACTTAGTGCTCAGCAGTGGGTAGAGCGAAGGCCATACTGGCAGAGATTCCTTCAGATGCACAGATTCCAGGGGTGCTGTCTGTGAAGCCTACGGCAGAGGATCCACGGGGCATCCAGGATTCAAGCAGCCACAAGTCAAGGCTGTGCTGGGAGCCAACGCACAGTCCCGCCTGGATGCCCTCTGCCCCGCGACAGGTACTCTCTTTTAAGAAGTCATGTTTACTTGAAAGTCAAGAAAAAATCAGAACTATCTGGTATTCCCTCAGCTTTGCAGACATTTAAAATTTCATTCTTCTGTTTGACTCAGTAAATCCACTTCTATGAATCTAATCTGAAGAAGTTATCTGAGAGCAAGGGCTGGAGCCGTGAGAGTGTGGGCCGACCACCCAGAGCCCTGGGCTCCATCCCAGCCCTGCCACCCGCCACCCCCCGGAATTATCTGAAGGCAGAAGAAATATACACAAAGATAACCATCCCTGCCTAGGCTGTAAAGATGGTGACAACCATGACGATTAAAAGCAATGCTGAATGAGTGCCTACTGTGTGCCAGGCACCGCACGTATTTAGTGTTTTGCAAGTATTTTTCGGAGTAGTCACAAAAGTGAATGTGACAGGTATCACTGTGATATCATGCCAAAAAAACACAAGGTTCAAAAAGGTTAATTTGTTTGCTCAGGGTCACATGGCCACAGAATGCAGAGTCAGGCTACAAAATTAGGTCATCTTGATTCCAGAGTCTTTACCACTATGCCACACATGCCCCCCTACATACATCATGCATGTCCCCATGATGGAAAACTATACAACCTTCAAAAAACAGGATAATGGAGAGTTTTTGAAAACATGAGAGACAATGTCGTTATATCGTTAAACGGGTGAAATCTAAAATTATAAAATGGTAGTGTCTCAGTAACGTAAAAATCATGTAGTAAATAAAATAGATCAATATTTTATTAATATTAATATCGACATAGTTGAGGACTCGATGTTGTCTTCTTTATTTTTGGAACTGTCCAAGTTTACATAAGTTTATATTATTTTTATAAACTGGAAGATATACAATAATACACAGTAGTAACACACATCTAATGCATAGATTTCTACTAAATGAATCGTAACTTAAAATTTAAGAGCTTGTATTTAAGAGTTCTTCCATTTCCCAGGTATCCTTTTTCTGAAAGTCATCTCAGTCCTAAATGCCCTGGGACAAGGGAAATTGATTCCAATTGGACTTTTTTAAGGGATGGAGATGTGCTCATTTCCCCCAGTGAATGACACCAAACTGTAGTTCAGTCTGGGGACGGCTGGAAGCAAAGAGCCTTTGAGAGGGAGCAGGGCAATCAAGGTTTCTCTCTGCTGCTCACACCCATCCACACAGTGTGGTGGAATGCTGAGCCTCAGGAGCCCCTGTGTTCCCTCAGCTTTCACGGGTGATCCGGGACACCCTGGGGGAGTCATCATTAATAAACCCTGAAGTTTAATGGAGAATAGTCATTCTCATTTCAGATCTTGACTCCAGAAATACTGAGAGTCACTGATTTGTGACAGCTAGTTTCTGTCTGACAATGACATTTCTTAACATTATCTTATCTTCTCAGCATGGAGCCAAATGGTGTTTAAGGCTGTAATTTTCTGTAGGTGGAGTTCCAGTCCAGACAGTCAACAATTAACTAATACCTGTGGTGCTGGGCGAAGCGGCTGACTTCTGCAAATTCCCCAGCAGAAGGTCCAAGTTTGGAAACGGCATCTTCACAGCCTGGAGGAGTTTTACCAAACTCTCAGCGCTCAGGGTCTTCTCTTCAGTCACTCTGTGCAACCAATTTTCTACTGCCTCCTTGGGTGTTCTGCCCTCACAGCAATTCAGAATCACCTGCGGTGGCAAGCAATCAAGGCGACTCCGGTTACTGGCAATTCAGAATTTATCTGACCCACCACTGGCAGACCCGCAAGACGGCACTACAGGATGCCCTGATTCCAAGTCCTTTAAGTCTCTGGCATGACTTGTGTCACAGTCCTCTCCTTAATCTGTTTTAATCATTCTCCAAACAGCTTTATGAATCCTCCCCCTCAACTCTAGGTCCGCGTACATTCCTTGCCAGAGCCTGTGATTTTAAAAACACTCTTATGCTTGGTCTATATGACAGAGTAAGTCAGGTAGCTTACATGGGACCTGTTTCTTGGGATTTAGTTTGTTCAGACACTAAGACTGAGAAACAGAGACTGGAAATTGACTAATATAGGTAAAATGTGTTTTGCTCTCTGCTTGGTCAAATTCACGATACTGGCATAGGTTATATTTTTAGAGCCATTCTATTATTTTGCTTTATTTGCAAAGTAAGTTGAATACCCAGATAATTTATATGGAGCCTGTGGACTCCAAATAATAAAGTGCTTTTCTGGGTTCTTTCTCATGAGTTCTTGATCCTCTGTGTCTTTGTTCTCAGTGCCCACACACATCAGCTCCTGTCAGTGCAACCACCCCTCTCCCCCGTTCCTCTTTGGTGTGCTGAATGATTTTCTGAGTCAAAAGGGCACAGGGCTCTACCAAGAGGTTGAAAAGTACAACACGTGACATATACTTTCCTATTACGATAGAACTATTTCTTAATAGATCATGATGCAATATACAAAACATGGCTCTTTTGGAACCGATAAAGCAGAGGATTATTTCGATATATGTAATCCACAGATTCACAGTGACTGCCTTTGGAGCTTTCCTTTGGGGAAAGGAGAAACAGGCAGATCAGTCACGGTAGTATGCCAAAGATCGCCATTAGCAAACTAATTCCATCTGAAAATAATGAATCTAGATTTTAAATCAAATTGGAATATATATATATATACACACACACACATATATACACACACACACACACACACATATATATATATATATATAAATCAGTTGTCATATTCCTTGTCTGTACAGAACATAGTCATTCTCTTTGTTTAAGGTCTAATACACAGTAGATTTCTACTAAATTAATCATAATTTAAAACTTAAGAGCTTGTATTTAAAAGCATGCTAATTTCAGTGCTAAATCTCAGTTCCTAAGCAATAATTTGGCATGATGTAGCCACATACTGTAAGAGTAGGAATATGAGATTTGAAGCCAGCCAGACACTGTTTGTACTCCAGTTCTAGTATTTATACTTTGTGACCTTGCACAAGTTACTTAATTCTTTGAATCTTATTTTCCTCATTTGGAAGTGAAGATAACCATACTAACTCTTGCACAGTGGATATGAGGATTCTGTAAAATGAAGATGCCATTTGCAGAACCTAGAACAACTTCCAGGACATAAGAGAGTGTGGTTGACATTACTGGGAAGAGCATGCACTGTGGTTAAGAGAATGTGTATGGTTAACATTCTGGGTGCCAGTTCTGTCCCCAAACAGTACCTTTGGGTGAGCTGCTTAACTTCCCAAGGCTTCCATTTTTTCACCTTAAAATGAAGGTGACATCAGTGACTTCCTACAGCTACCAGAGGGTGAAATTTTGTAGTGTTTAAAAGATCTTTAGCATAATGTCTGGCATACAATAAGCAATACATAAAGGTCAATCAGAGTAATTATATTCTTATGTCCTAAAGTAAAGAGTTTCCTATTGACCAACTTCCCAAAGAAAGAACCCAAGGTATTAACAGGTAAGGTGTCCTTTCGTAAAAGAAAAAGTTCTAAAAGGCCTGGGGACAGATACCACATGGTGGCCACACACTGTGGTGATTCAATCAGCATTCCCCTCCACGCCTCTACCTTATTAGTTTTCTTCAGTTTTCAAGAAGGAGCAGCTTAATGCAGCTCCTGGGTGACTCCCAAGCTTAAGGAGTGTTTTTGTGATTTATAACGAATTTAAGTTCATCTGCTTTAGCTTTTTCTGTCAAGTAAACTGGAAGTGACAGAAGAAAATGACAGTGTGGTCCATCTTGCTGCGGAGAATGAGGCTGCGTTTGGGCTCTACTTACAAGTGCTCTTCTATCAAGATAATGAAGCAGTTCAAAGGACACACTCAATCCACCTAATAAGCAAAAGGCCTGAATGTGCAATGAGAAGGCAGTTACTGAACAGGGAATCAGGCACTTCTGGTTCTACAAACAATTTACTTAAACTGAGTGCCTGAAATTACACTTAATCTGAAGTCTAAGGAGAAAACAAGAGCTTAATCCTTTTGGGTATGTATCAACTTTTTCTAAGAAGTTCAAGAACTTAAAAGGTGTTAAAGACATAATTAATTTACAAAATACAATTTTGAGATTAAAGCTTGTTTCCATTTATCTGTCTAAGACCACCAGAAAAATAGAACCCGGGCTCCAGCTCTCACCATGAATCCAGTGCCGGCCGTCAATCAGCCTGTGGGCTCAAAACATTTTCTTTGCTCAACATTTAAGTCACTCCCCACAGCTTTAAGAACTGATGCCACAAAACTTTTCTACCCTTATTCCTTCCTTCCAGATAAAAAAATATTTTTAGCACAAAGTTGAAATCAATAACACCAACAAATACAGTTATCTAGCTGCCTTCAGAAGTCATGCCAGCAGTTTTACGGGGATTTCAGTAGCCAGCTGGTGGGAGAGTGAGAGGGACAACCTTCCTGAAGGGCAATTTGGCAACATGTATCAAGCACTTGAAAAACTTTATGTTCTCTATTCCAAAATTCCACTTCTCAGAAATTATTCTAAGGAAATAATGTGAAAAATGTGCAAAGATCTGCCTGCAAGGATGTCCTCTGAAACATTTCTAATAGCAAAAAAATTAGAAACACCCCAAAAAAACATGAGTTATGCTGTATCTATTAAAATATAATATAGCTACCAAAATCCATATTATAAGTACAAAAATGCACTAGCTTCTGTTGGAAAATCATGAGTCCCCTGCCCAGGGTGACCCCAGTCAAGGTGACTTGTGGGCGGGGCAGGCTCTAAAACATTAGCAGGGCTCATTCCTGAGTGGGAGAGTTGTTTTTTTTTCTTTTTGTTTGTTTTCCCTGTTTTCTACATATTAACTGTGTGTCATTTCTGCTCAGAGGGAAACTGTCACAATAACTACAAATGCACTTTAATTTTTTAACTCTTGGTACAGTTACTTATAAGAAGAAGTCACTGAGTCAGAGTAGGAAGACCATACGTCTGTCCCTCACCCACCCCGGGCTCTACTGCCCGCTGCAGCGCACACGGCCCTCAGCAGGCTGCGCAGGAAACCCCCAGGGGCACAGAACAGGAATCTGAACTTCAAGGTGATCACCACGCAGAAGGTATAAAAATACCACAAGTTAAAAAGTGCTACGTGCCACTGAAGAGGGTTTTTTAAGTGCTACGTCAACTCAGAAGGGGGAGGAAGACTTGACACAGTCACCCTTTTCTCGGCGCCAGGCAGGAACCCCTCCTTGGCTGTTTCCAGGAACTCCGTAATAGGTCTCAGCTGCGTTACACACTGTAGCAGGTCCTCTTTGTGTTCCAGTAACAGAACAGACAAGGTCTTTCCCTCCCCTGTGCTCCCTGGGGGAGAAAGAATTAGAGACACACAAGAGAAGCTAGTCAATTTGAAGAAAATGACAGCATGGTTTGTCGAGAAAGATCTAACAGAATAGTAGAGTGATTTTCAGCTTATTCTGTGCACCTGAATGCAGAATCACTTTTAGGGAGGAAAATACTTTATTATTCTGTTTAAACTCTATGAAAGGAAAAAATGTTTCATTTATCTGTCGAAACACAAAGCTTCAGAGCCAGCCAGAGGTTAACTTCTGGTTGGCAAGGCCATTGCTTTGTACCTAACCCAAATGAGAGCAACCTCAGCCTTTAAGTGCTGCCAGTGAACCAGCCCACCCTGGGCACGCAAGGCGCTGCTCTGGATATGCGGCTTTTTGAAAGGCAGGAGGACATGATGGCATTCTCCAATTCAAGATGTCAGTCTAGTTAACTAGGGGCTAGAAATGGAGACTCACGCTTAGCGTGTGTGTGTTTAACATGCAGCCTCTGGAATGGCATGTGGAACCTGCGTGCATATCACTTAATAACTAGGCCACTGAAGACAGTATCATGCAGCAAGCTTTCAAAGCTCGGCCACTGGGGTGGAAGGCGTCCCTCCTACCTTCTGGCCGTGCTGGTGCTGCATCTTCTGGGTTCCAGGCAGAGAACACCATCTTTACTGCAGGATGGGAATCCTGGAACAGCCTCAGCAGGGACACGGCAGTCTGCACATCCAGGATCTCATCTCTGATTCTCTCTAGGATCCTCTGGAATGCTGAATGTCCTCCTTCACCCGCAAAACATCCCATTATAATCTGCGGAATGAAAGTACCCAGAAGGAGCTCTCAGCCAGCCACAAGGACCACACCGGCAAGCGAGGCCCCCAACGATCTGATCCCTCCCACCTCACCCAGCACTGTTCTCCCCAGCGGCAGCAAATCCCGCTGCCCCAGGCCCCCAGCCTGCCCTCCACAGGACTCTTTCCACACTGTAACCTGGTGCAGGGGGGGGCCTTCCCCAACCACAAGCCCACCTTCTCCTCACTACTCATAATTCTGCATTTGGCACACTGTACTGAAATAAAAATAATAATAATCATAATTATTATTATTATTATTATTATTATTATTATTATTATTATTTTACTTTTTTCTTCTACTAAGCTTCCTGAAGATAGGGATCAGGATTTCTAGGTCTATATGCATAGCAACTAGTCCTGCCTGGCACACAGTAGGTGCTCAGTGCATTTTTTTCACAAACTTAATATACTTCTTACCTAATTATACCTTTCTGAATCTTATGACATTTTGAGTATTTCTTAGGCATGGATATCTGAATTTCAAATAGAATGAACTGTCATTTTATTACTTGAGAATGTAATTAAAATCTCACTAGTTAGGAAAAAAGAACACTTAAGTCATTTACATTATGAATGATAGACTATTTAGAAAGACACGATCCTTATTACTTTTAGATCTTTTCTGTAACAATTAAGGCTAACAGCGTGTTGGCTTGTAGTGCCAGCTGTCAGAAGCACCAAAGATTCACACGTTAATTATCCCACATTAATGGCGGCTGCTGGCCTGAACGGCTCCTGAGTCTCCTCCCTGGTTGATGCTGAGCACATCACCAGCCCTACCTCTGGTCTGGTGCCACCTCACTTTTCTGTGGCATCTGGCATTACCGCTGCCTCTGTATCCCAGGTTCCCTGACTTCAGAAACACTGATGTCGCCTGTCTGAAGCCTCGTTCAGCCTTTTCACCTCATTCAGCCTTCCTCAATGGGTTCTTCCAAATCCAGAGCCATAAGCAGGACCTACGACCAGCCTGAACCTTGGCTCCTCTTCTCTTCTGAGCCACCCCTGCGTAGCTCTTAACTGGCACCTTTATGCAGACAACCCTGACAGTGGCTTCTGCCCGAGCTCCCTACGTGAATCTAGAGCCACAGTTCCTACAACACCTGGTTTAGGTTCCAAAAGTCTCAGGACCACAAATAAAACAAAACTCACCATCTTGAGTCTTCCAGACCTGGAGTAAAATATCAACAACCTTGTGGTAAAGCCAACAACACCAGCACCCCTTTGTTTGATCTGAGGAAACATCTCTTACACAAAGAGAGGAGGGCCACCTGAAGGTCGGAGTAGTAGTCACAGTTCAGCAATGATTCACATATTTTGGGGGGGAAAACCCTGGTAATCTAAACTGAATGTCATGCGTAGTTTTATACATATATGTAGCCTTCCTATTTCTACTGGGCCAAACTGCAAGCTACCTCTGGTGTTTTTTAGTGTCAAGAAAAGAAAATAGTAAAAGTTTTCTCACAAGTCTTCAGAGAGCATATTAAAGTTCCCTAAACAGATGTATCAAAGGGTCCCATGAATTGTGCTATTGAAAAAAATCAATAATGGCAACACCTAACAGTTGTTAAAAATTCTGGTAGTTAATTATATATTTTGAATGTTTATTTAAAGAGGCTTTATCTTTTTCTTTTCTGCCCAAATAAATAGGAGTTATTTAGTTAGATTTCATGTTTCTTTGTTTATTTTTAGCTTGCTTCCTAATCATGGAATGGCTGGATAGGCTAAATTAACCTTTTTAAGAAAGTTTCCTGTCTTTTTTTCTCTTTTTTTGTCATCTTCAAAAGTAAACTTGGATAAAGCTCAGTTAAATAATCCCCATTAAAATTTCATGGGAGTAACTTCCGTGAACCCAAGGTAACACATCTTCTATTTAAAAAATAAACAAGAAATAAAGACATCAGTTGAATGCTTAACCCCCTCGGTTAAATTAATTCAACGTTTCTGCCTTTGTTAGTCGGCCTAAACCCTCCTCAGAATGCCTCGTCATGACAGCTGCAGGACCTGAGGCAGGTGCCTACAAAGTGGCTCCCAGTGGCCCTGGTCTTCTGGTATTCACGCCGTGGGGCGAGCTCTTGTGGCTTGCTTCTAACGATGAGAAGTATTGGGGTGCCCCTTTGGAGGTTAGGCTGCTAGGACGCCCCTCCTGCCTGTGTGCACACATCTGTGTTCGCATGTGCTGGCTGACACGCTGCCGCCTTCTCTCTGCCCTTGTTCTGGGAGACATAAGCTGTCGTGCTGTGAGCTGCGCGAGGGCGAGGCCCGTGTGGCAGGAACTCAGCTCTCCAGTGAGGAGGGTTAGGAGCGGACCTTTGCAGCCTGCCAACAGCCTTGGGAGTGAGTTGAGAAAAAGATACTCCAGCAGGGCGTGGTGGCTCCCGCCTGTAATTCCAGCTACTAGGGAGGCTGAGGCAGGAGGATTCCAAGTTCAGGCCAGCCTGGGCAACTTGGCAAGATCCTACCTCAAAATAAAAAATAAAAAGGACTAGGGATGTAGCTCAGTGGTTGAGTGCCCCTGGTTCAATCCCTAGTATTGGAAAAAATGAAAAGAACACTTCCCCCACCCCTAGCGGAGCCTGACCTGGCTGCAGCCCTGGCTGACCCTGGGTTTGTAAGACTGAGTAGCAGGACCAGCCACACTACATCTGGATGCCTGACCCACAGAAACTGCGAGTTATAAATGTTGGTTTAAGCTGCTCAATTTGAGAGTAACTGTCACACAGCAACAGACAGCTCCCCGCTTCCACTCATGGCTATGCCCTCAGTAAGCAGGTCTCTTTCTCTTCATTTTCCCTGTCCTTCCTTTTGTGCCTCTTAATCCCACTCTGTCTAGCCAGGTTGGGATTGTTTTTTTTCTCTACCTAAAACCTTCTGAATAGCCCGTGTCTACCGCTCAGTATCCACTGTGAGCCGGGGAGAAGCTGTCGTCAGTGCGGCACCTGATGCGCTCCTCATTATCCTCTCTGCAGAACTACTCAGCAGTGAAATTAAAACATTTGTTAACTTCACTGCTCAGCAGTGATGCTAGGGTGACCATCTGGGAAGAGAAGCAGGGGTGGCTGATGAAGGCCCGGAGGGAGCAAGGCTGTCCACACGGCGCTGCTCTTTCTTCCTCCATGGGGGCAACACTCGGCTCTAGGGCTGCGACTCCAGGCTCCCTGGGACTCCACTTGGAGTGAGTTCTTTCTGAAATAGTGTCTCTGCCTAACAGAAGGATGTCACACATTGTAATAGGCTGCTACCACGTAACACGACTCCAAGAGCTGGACAAAAACAGAGTTTTGCCAAAATGGCTGACCAAGTTCTTTAACCATGTATCTGGAACTCCTTTGAGTCTTAGAGAGCTAAAAGTACTTCAATAAATTCATGTTAACACACGGTCCCATAAGTAATCCAAGCACTGCACCTATGAGTGAGGCAGGCAAATGCATTTAAAAATGAGACAATTTCCTGTCTATCTCTGACATGGGGAAAAGCCATGTAGTCTTTCCCTTAACTCAAGTGTCTTAACTGAATTTACTTCCTTTCCCCAACTGTTTGCCTACTCTCCTCCTGCTCTCCTCTCCTACTCTTCTGCACTCAGGCCCTTCCCTAAACGCCAAGGGGCAGGCAATGGCAATAATGGTACACGTGGGACAATTCAGTGGTAGAGCACTTAGCTTGTTTGAGATCCTGGGTTCAATCCTATGCATCAAAAACAAGTAAAAATAAAAAATAATAATGCAGACCACAATCACTCAACACCATCCTAGACACTCTATAGACTTGCCATCTACTCTCAGCCTCACTGCTTCTATTTTACATGAGCATCAGAGAGGTTAAGTAACTTGCCTAAGGTCTCAGGGCTACAGGGTAAAGTAGCCTAGATAAAGACTATTGATTCTGCAAACCTGGCACCCCTTTCACTCAGTTCTACCTCCCAGACTTGGAGTATATTCAAGTCCATCTACCCTGGATTCTACTGCACCTACCAGAATCAACATCACCCAACACCAGGTTGTGTATATACAATCTAGAAAATTCTTCTTGGTCTCAACAATTATTATAAAGACTGATAAGCAGTAGGTGCTCAATAAGTGCTTGTTTAACTGAATGAAATTTCCTTTTCATAGAACCACTAGTCCATCTATCTATGACTGCATGTCCCAGACTTAATAATTAACATGGAGGGACGTAGCTCAACGTGCTTCCTGGCACACAGGAAGCCCTGGATTCCATTCTTACACGACAAAAGAAGACCAACAAAAACAAAAACAATAAAACACGAGATCTGGACAAACAGCAACCCACTTTTACCTCTCATAGGGCTGTAAAACGAATCCCATTAACTCACTCTCCAGAGGACTAGCCCGCACTGTCATTAAGCAGTCCTCAGAACACAGACTGCACTGCTGGACCAGTCTCCAAAGCAGTGACATGGTTGAAAATAGCAAATCACGCAGGAGGAGAAACTTGTTTGCCTTTGAAATACAGTTGAAGGAGAAAAAAAAAAAATGTTACCAGGTCTTCAGCTTTGGGAGTCTTTCCAGAACTTTAAGTGAAAAGTGAATCAAACAGCATGGAAATCAATACTAGAAAAAGTTAGCTCCTGATTCTGGTTGAAGATCCACTTTGCTGTATACACAATTAATTAAAGCAGGGACATGGCCAGGAATAAAGAAGCAAGATGATGAAAAGTTCTAGCATAAAAACTGAAAAGAAGTATGAGTCTGGCTTTAAATAAAGGTTTTACTCGGCTCAGCCAGAAGCCTCCTGGGTCACCCCTTGCTGGTTATAATGGGCAGGGATGTTACACTGGGACAGCAAAGGACAGAAGACACTTCCCACCCAGCACAGGAGAGCTCTCCCCGTAATCAGTTCTGGCTTTGGTCTCACCCAGTTTAAGCAGCAGGCCCTTCTCATGTCCCTGCGATCACTGCTCGAGGATGGCTTTGCCACCTTTCACCATTTATCTCAGGAAATAAAGCCATCAGGACACTGCTGGACAGTGTCCTCCCTGAACTCGATCCAGGCCACATGTGTCCATCTCAGCCAGAAAGCACAGCACTCATGAGCCTCAGCAAGCCTCAAAACAACACACCCAGGAGTACATTATCTTTAATGTTAAGTTGTCAAGTCATGACATCATGGTTAATCCAGTAACAAAACAAACAATTCAAAGCTCCTTAGGAACTAAAAGTGTACAAGCAGAAAAACCACAGCAAAAAAAAACTGACTTTGAAGTTGTACTGAAACCTAAAACAGCGCGCCCCAAGTGAACAGCTCCTAAAGGGCTCATCCCCGAAGCCTTTGGCGAGTCCTCTAATTTGGTGATATCTGCGTACACTCCCCAGGAAATAATCAATCACGTGTAGCAGGATTTCAGTGCTGTGAAGACCCCATGTAAGGACAGGGACTGGCTCTTAAGTTTGTCTTCCCAGCAACCAGCTCAGCTCGAGGCTTCAATCAGCTGCCCAGGTCGAGAAGAGGAGCACGAGGCGTGAGCGGCATCCCGCGGCCTCTGGCTGCACTGAGCACTCGGGCATCTGCCGTCCAACGCTGAGAGTTCTGTAGGCCATTGACCTCTCCAGAGCCTTCTCAGAATGTGATCCACAGATACCAAGACAGCAACCCCTGGGGAACTTGTTAAAGACACAGGTTCCCAAGTTCTACCATATGCTAAGACTCAGACCCTGGAACGGGTCTGGAGGCACACACTGTGACAAGCACTCCAGGTGACTCTGTCTGCACGGCACCTTTGTTCTGGAGACTGACTGCTCTGTACCAGACGCTACCCCTCTGGCTCAGGAGGCTACTTTCAAGTGGATGGTGGCACCTCTTTGAAACATGGCTTACCAATTAAGCCTACAGTATCACAGCGAACGGCCACGGCACTAAGGTACCAAAAGGCATCCGTGAAAGGAGGTTTAGAGGTCTATTAAATCTAAAAATACTGAGTTACTGTATAAACAAACAATAGCAGCTGCTACCTACTGAGTTCCTACTGTGTGCCTGGCATTTTACTGTGTTTTCTTTTAGTTGTAGATGTGCACAATACCTTCATTTTATTTATGTGGTGTTGAGGCTTGAACCCAGTGCCTCATGCATGTGAGACAAGTGCTCTACCACTGAGCCACAACCTATATTAATTCACAATGACCCTATGATGTACTGATAATATTCCCCATTTTACAAATTAAGAAACTAAAACTTATAAAGACAAAGTTGCTCCAGGTCACGATGTTAATAAACAGCGGAGCTGGATACATAAATCGCATGTACACATACTAGAATGCTACTCAGCAGAACGCCACGTGGCAACAATAAGAAATGAACACACAACAACATGGATGAATCTCCATATAATTATGTTGAATAAAAGAAGTCACAGTGGGCGTGTTAGCACATGCCCACAGTGACTCAGGAGGCTAAGGCAGGAGGATCACAAATGTGGGCCAGCCTTAGCAACTTAGTGAGGTCCTCAGTGACCTAGCAAGACTTTGTCTCAAAGAAAAAAGGCGGGCAGGCAGTGCTGGGGATGTAGTTCAGTGGTAGAGCAACCCTGCATTCAATCCTCAGTACCAAAAAAGAAGCCAGACCCCCCACCAAAAAAAGTACTATATGACTCCATTTAAATAATAATCTAGAAAATACAGACTAATCTAATGGAGAGACAGCAAATCAGTGGTTACCTAGGGGATGGGTGAGTGGAAGGTGGTAAGTGGGACTTAAGAAGGTGAAGAAACCCTTGGGGTGATGCAGATGTTTACTGTCTTGATTGTGATGGCTTCGGGGCATGTACATGTATCAAAATCTATCAAATTGTACACTTTAAATATGTAGAGTTTTCCTGTGGAGATGTGGGTTTATATCCCACTTCTGACACCAAAGACCAAACAAAACTATAGTTTACTGTCAACTATACCTCTTTATAAAGCTGTCTCAAACAAAACAAAACAACAACAAAAAAAACAAATACAGAAGAGAGAAGTGGAAGACCTAAGTGTAAAGTGGCATCTACCTAGTTCTATAATTAATTATTTGATGGTGGTGGGATCCAGGGCCTCGTGGTTGCTAGGCAAGGGCTCCACCACTGAGCTACGTGGGCAGCCCCTCGTTTAATTTAATTTTATGTTCTTAAATCATCTCTTCCCTTTTGCTTTCTGCAGTTGAAAGATTTATTAAGGACTATAACAGAATAAATTTTAAAAACAGCTACCAAGTGATTTGTAGAGTTCTCTCTAACCTCTAAACCAAGAAAGAAATAATATAAGCCTGGAATGATCACCAACAGTGAATCGGTACTCTCCCAAGGTACTATTAATGTTACTGCCATCAAAAGATTACATAAGAAGTGAGAAAAAAAAGAAATATTGAATGAATCCAAATATGACAGACATTTCTTGAGCAACTCTTATGTGCCAGACACTTTGAGAAACTAGTTAAAAAAAAAAAAAAAAAAAAGCACAAGACACAGTCCAAGCAAGGACAGAGGTGGTACTAAAAACTTGATTATTGCTGACCTGAAGAATGATGTTGCTCCTCTATAGCCAAAGCAAGCCTGCTTAAGGAAGCCGGAGGAGAGAAAATGAAGAGGTCTGTCTAGAAGCTATCAAGTAGCAAACTAACAACAATGATGGATTGAACAGTTCAGAGAACATACAAGTGCAAAAATTAAAAAAACCATAATGTCCTTTCGGCATAGTCAGTATAAAGAGTACCAAGGATTTATGACTTGAATCCCCAAAGAGAGTCACCAGCGTTGGTCCAGCCTTGTAAACAGCTTATCTATAAGAGCTATAATAATTTATACCTATGGCCAGCTGTCAATTGATACGGTTAAAATCAATACCAGACCTTGAATTTTTTTTTCCCCCAAAAGTAACCTGCAGTGAATCAGGAGAACATTTAAATACTTACTGGAAGGCATTTATTGATTGGATTAACAGTATCTAGCAGATACTGAATTGCCTACAGCCACATGGGAGCACATCCCACACCACCTCATCAATCAGATGGGTAGGCCTGCTGGGAGGCCACCATCCTACTCTGCGAAGCCTCTCAGCAGGGACATGCAGGGCTGGCAGAGAGGGAAACAAGAAGAGTTCTAAGTACCTGTGGAGTCAGGTGTTGGGAGCATACAGGTGAGGATGTGTCTTAACTGTATTACTATAGAGAATAAAGATCAGCCAAGAAGCAGCAAGATAGACATTTGTCAATTTCTTTTAGGGCAAATCCTAAATATTTTCATATATATGTATCATTGGCACACGATACATATTATATCATTTGCTTGACACATTTACATAAACGTATCATAACTCGGTGTGGTGTGTAGGAGGATAAGTTTAAAGTCCGAAAGCAGGCTCAAGCTAGAGGGCTTGCCTAGTAGTGGGAAGACCCTGGGTACTATCCCTAGCATCACAAAAAAGTCATAACTAGGTTTGAATTCTGGTTTGGAATCTTACAAGCTCTGTTCCTTTGTCAAGTTTTACCTCCTCTTTGAGACAGTTTTTTCATCCATAAACCAGGACTAAATAATAATAATAATAATAATAATAATAATAATAATACCCATTTCCATGACTTTTTTAAAAAAATATTTACTTTTTAGTTTTTTGTTTTGTTTTGTTTTTTTAAGGTGGACACAATATCTTTATTTTATTTTCATGTGGTGCTGAGGATTGAACCCAGTGCCTCACCCATGCCAGGCAAGCGCTCTACCACTTGAGCCACATCCCCAACCCCTCCATGACTTTTGTGAGGATAAAACAAGATTAAACCTGTACCAAGCTTATCCTGGTGTGGTAGATAGTCCATCCTTCTTGTATAAGTTTGAAAATCTGTTGTTTTGCTTTTAATGCTTCCGTCTCTGATTTGGGCTTATCCAAGACCACCCTCTGCCTCACTTTACCCTCAGGATACAGCATTTTCAGGAAGGAACAGTGTGACCATTGAAGTATCCTGGATTGAAACCAGTAAGAAGCTGGGATATCCCTATCATCAAACGTAACTGCATTTTCAAATCTTGCTCCGTACTTTTACAAAACTGCTCTTTGTAAAATAAATGTCAAAAAAATTGAAGGTTGAGAAATCTGAACCCCTGCATATTTTGCCTTTTCATAATTCTGCCCCATGAGGGAAGGCAGCACGGAGTCCTGAGGACCTAAATCAGCAAACACAGGACGCTCAGAGGCACCTACCTCCTTCTGGGGGCCTTCAATTTCTGAACATTCTTCTAATCTTTTTAAAATGTCCTGGGAAACCAAGAGTGCATCTGAGAAGACGTTTTCATTTTCTAGAAGAAAATTCAGCTGCCAGTGTTTCCTCTCACGCTCTGGATGTAGAACAAAATGAAAAACAGTGATTTGTTATTTGGAATGACTAAAAGGAGGCATCAGTTGTCTAAGAACCTTCAGGTCACAGAGGACAGCAGCCCCTCAGGGCTGAGCCACAGACACAGGCATTTCTCACAGCCTCCTCCTGCCCACTGTCCTCAGCCTGGTTAAATGAACAGATGACTGGAAGAGGTTGAACACTATTATTTCGATACTGCTCAATTCCAGATTTTCAACAATGAGGAACTTTTAATGTCCAGTGAGTTACTACACCGAGTTTCAGTTTCCTACCCAATGGTGAGCTTTGGTAAATTAATAACGAAATGATAAAATTAATAAAAATCATCAAATATAGTAATTGACAATAGATGTGCTGACTCCCTTAGATAGACATTTAAGTGAACAAGATTAGCTGAGTGTTACCTGGTGCTGTGTCTGCTCCCTTTGTCTCACTGAAGGCTCCGTCAGGGGAGGGGACGCAACCTGCAGCTGGGGCTTCCGGGTCGCCCTGAACCTCCTGGGCAACAGGAGGATCCGTGCTCATCTCCTGTGTCATCATACAGATGGATTCCTGGGTCTCAGCCTTTACAGGGGCCCCCGGTGTGACAGGAACCTCCAGGGAAGAAGGGGGGTGCTCTCCAACACCCTCGGAGGAAAGGACCTCTACATGAGGCTTCTCTGACTCCTTCCGACATGCCTCTGAGGATGGCACAGAGCCATCCTTCACCACCTGCCCCTGGACAGAGCAGCTGACAAGGCTGGTCAGAAGATTCTTACAACTAACAGCCACATCAAACATCTGCAGGCTGTCGGCCAAAGAGATGATCTTGGAGAAGTTGTGCTTGCCCACAGGGAGCTTGCCAGTGTACATCATTTCTAGCAAGAGGGCAAACTCCTCGGGGCTCACCACAGAGGCGTCGATGGAGATGGTGTCTGTGTTGTCCAGCAGGGTTTTGAACAGGAGGCTGGCTGCAGCCAGAACGAGCTTGTGAGCCCTGAAGTAGACGGTGCCGATGGAAATGGTGCAGTCGCAGAACTGCTGCTCCTTGCACAGCGTGTAGAGCTGCCGCAGCAGCTGGCGGCTGTAGTTGGGGAGCTCCATCGCCCAGGAGTCCCCTCCTCTCTCCTTCCAGTCCACTCACGAGGACAGCCTGGAGACAACCACAAACACCCAGGAAGGGCCTCGAGTGACGCACTCAACAAGGAGGCAATCACGCAACAAATGCTGCTTGGCGGGGAGGGGCAGCTGGCCAGGTGGCCTGACTGACAGAGACCTCGGAGATCGCCACGTGCTCAGCGACAGGAGAGGGGCTGTGCGTGGCCGCAGCAGCCTAAGGAAACAGCCATGAAAGGGCCGGGCCTGCCTCGGACTTCAGGCTCTCACTACTACTGGATGCCGTTCTTGTCCCCAAAGAGCAGGTGGCCAACTGGAAGAGACAAATACATGGACAGAGACATCAAACACAACGTCCTTGGTGTGTTCAAGCCTTCTGCACTGCTGCCTGCCACTTGCTCTAATATATTTCCCACGGGTTCCCTTGGCCCCCTGCTGGGTCACTAGTCACCTGTTGCCTTTGCTGGAACCTCTTCATCACTTCTGCCACTCAGGCCTCCTTCTCAGGCTCCCCTCCCAACTTCAGATGTGCACCTGCAGCTACCCACTGGGCAGCTCCAACAGGAAGCTGACAAGTTTCTGAAACTCTACTCCCCAAAGCCCTCCTGCCATCTTCCCCACCGCACAGCAATTCTGTCCTCGTGGTTCAGATGGAAATCCTGGGAGTCATCCTTGACTCATTTTTCTCATACCCTAGATCCAATCCTTTTACTGCTGCTGTTGGCTCTTCAAATACAAGCCCGGTCCACTCACTCCTCGTCCCCCGCATGGCTCCCTCTGGGCAGCCCACACCACCATCACCACTTGTCTGGATTAGTGCCATCATCCCTAACTGGCCCCCAAGCCCCTGCCCTCCCTAGCATTGCCCCTGCCTCTCCCTCTCTTCTCCCCAACCATCACAGTGACCTATTTAGCACATAGTCAGAGCTGGTCACTTCTTTGCAAAGAAGCCACAAGAGGCTTCGAGTCTTTCAAGGTATGGCTGCTGCTGGCACCCCACCCATTTTCTCCTCCTCTCCCTGACTTTGCCCCACGGGCTCAGCTGACCCTAGAGCACACAGCACACTCTGGCCACAGACTTCCTCAGTCCTGTGCCTGGCCGACTGACTCACTCCCACCAGGTCTCTGCTCAGACACCTGCTCAGACAGGTTGAGCATCCCAATCCAAAAATCCAAAATCCAAATGCTCCAAAATCAGCACCTCTGGGGAGCCAATAGGACATCCCAAGTGGAAAACTCCACATCCGACCTCATGGGACAAGCTGAGTCAACACTCAGGTGCACTAAAAATACCATGTGAAATTACCTTCATGCTGTCTGCATGATGTTTACATGGAACGTAGAGAAACTTCATGTTCAGACTTGGGTCCTATCCTCAAGATCCTTTCACTATGTACACGAAAACATTTCCTAAAAAATCCAAAACCAAATTTCCTGTCTGGAGCGTTTCTGGTAAGGAATACTCAGACTTTATTTTCATAAGGCCTCCTTCCAGCCTCAGAGCTGACAACCTCCTTCCTCTGCTTTGTTTTGATCCCGGCACCATCGCCTTCGGGCTCTGCAGCATCTTGACTAGAACGCAAGTCCCATTAGGGAAGCTCCCTCCATCTCTGTCTAGCACAGGCACTCTGATCAGCTGGTAGGGTGGACTGGGAGCTGGCAGGAACTACAATAACAGTGATCTGCATGGAGAAGCCCCGATGGGGGCGGAGGGGGGTCCAGGGAGCAGAGCTGAGCTGTGAGGAGGAGCGGCCAGCTGGGCCGCCTCCTAAACGAGGCACAGAAACTGAGGGGTGAAAAGGGCAGAGGAAGAGGCCCTGGGCAGGGAAGCTGATGGGCAGACAGGCCAGCACTCTGTCACAGCGGGAGGCTAGGGGACGAGACCACAGAGGTCAGTGACACTAAAATAGGAAGCGGGGGACACAGAGAGGCAAGAGATGGATCTGGAGAAGCAGCCAGGGGTTCTATGCTCAGAGGGACATGAAGGCCATGCTTAGGAGCCTGGGTTTTCTCCTAAAGGCAATGAGAAGCCATTGAAAGGATTTATGCAGGAAAGTCACATGGTCAGAGCTGCATTTTAAACACACATCACCTACGTGGTGTTTCTATAGAATCTGAGAGGACTAATGCGAAGGCAGGCTCCATTATTACAGGACATCAGAGGAAAATCCATTCGGCTTTGACCAAGAGAAGTCGTAACGAGAGAGAGGAGGAAAGAACCCCACAGAATTTAGAATGTGTAAATGTTGTGATTTGGGAGCTGAATGGATCTGAAGATAGGAGAGAAACAGCTTCTCAGGTTCCTGGTTTGGTGCCTGGGTAGATGATGAGATGGTCCAGGTAATACAAGCTAAGAGTTAGGAGGGGACACCTATCTGGTAGAGTTTTGGGTTGAGGATCCCATAGCAATGACAAAATTGTATAATCTCACTTGTATAAAAAAGAAAAACTAGAGTCAGAGTAGAGAGATGTTTTGGAAAAAAACAAAAGTCTCACATTAGCTGCCTGTTAGAACTGATGCCCTCTCCACCCCACCACGATTTCTGTATTTTCTGATATCTGAAGCTGACAAAAGTAGAAATAAAAATATATCCAAGTTCTCTGATTTCTATTTTGCATGAGAAGAGCTTAGACGTCACCCTCCGTCCAAATAACAACTGAAAAGCTAAAAAATTAACAATTCTTCTTAGATTCATCAGAAAAGAGAGAGCACTGTCTCCCTAAATTGGTGACAGGCAGAAACAGAATCATAATTTAACAAACTGAAACCCACAGCAAACGCCTCTCTGGGAGCGAGCCAGTGCCACATTCAGAAAACCTGAACCATAAATGAAGAATCACAGGAGGCCGAGAGATCACAACTGAGAGAGCGCTCAGGGTGTCCAGCCACAGGGCGTCCCTCCGCTTTCAGTGGTTAACTCCTGGAGCACACCAGGCCCTCACTGAGCACGTCTGAGAAAAATTCCTTCATGCTTCCCATCTCTCCAGCATATTCCGGTATTCATTTTGGAATATGCCAGAGCACTGTTCTTTACAAGGCCTGCACTCAGGAGCTTAACCCACTGGGGAAAAAGGAAATGCCCAACTCCAGCTCCTTCTACCCATCTTGTACCACGCAAGGGGCAGGAAACCTGAGAAGTGCAAGTGAGATTCGCAGCCCAGGACACAGCCCCCAAGAGCCAGATCATAGATATGGAATCATAGATATGGACTGCTCCCCTCCCGACACCTTACACCACACATCACCAAAGGCCTATGAACAGCAGATCCTTTTATGCAATACAATGTGACTACCTTGCATCAAAAAAAATACAAGGCAAGGCTAGGCCAGGCATGGTGGTGGACACCTGTAATCCCAGAGACTCGGGAGGCTGAGGCAGGAGGATCATAAATTCAAGGTCAGCTCAACAACTTAGTGAGACCCTGTCTTTAAGAAATTAAAAAGGGCTGGGGATGTAGGTCAGATGTAGAGTGTCCCTGGGTTCAATCCCTAGTACTGGAGGCGGGGACTAAACTAAAATCAATAATCTAAGCTTCCATCTTAAGAAACTATAGCAAAACAACAACAACAACAACACACACACACACACACACACACACACACACACACCACTAAATCCAAAGTAAGCAGAAGAAAATAAATGACAAAAATCAGAAGGAAATGAAATCGAAAACAGGGAATCAAAAAAGAAAAAAAAAAATCAATGAAACTAAAAGCTGATCTTTGAAAAGACAAATAAAATTAATAATTAATTAATGTATCCATGTTAAGCAAAGGAGAGATCATACAATTACTTATATCAGAAATGAAAGAGATCGATCCCTACAGATCCCGTGGTCATTAAAAGGATAATAAAAAAAATATTATGAACAACTCTATGCCCACAAATACGATAACCTAGAAGAAATGATCCAATTCCTGGGACAGCAAAATCTGCCAAAACTCTCACAAGAAGAAACAGACTATCAGTGTAACTCTGTATCTTGTAAAGAAATTGAATAAAAAATAACCTTCCTGAGTGAAGTAACAGATATAGAGGAGTTCACTGGTAAATTCTACCAAATATTTAAAAAGAATTATTCTAGTTCTTTTGAATCTTGTCCAGAAAGTACAAACAGGGAATACGTCCTCTTTTTTTTCTCCCTGTGGTGCAGTGCTGAGGATGGGACCCAGGGCCTACTGCACGCCAGGCGAGTGCTCTACCGCTGAGCCACCTCCAGCCCCTAACTCATTCTTTGAGGCCATCATTACTTTAATATTAAAATCAACAAAGACCTCACAAGAAAAGGAAGAATAGACCAACATCTTTCATGAACATAGAGGCAAATGTGCTCAACAAAATGTTGTTCAACAAAATGTTGAATCCAGCAACATATAGAGAGTCACGCCCCACAACCAAGTGGGACTATCCTAGGTATGAAAGGCTGGTCAGCATCCTGACATCATTTCATCACCACCTCCCACTGTCCAGCATGTAGGACACCTAGAAAAAAGTGGTAAAGTTTTATAGGGCTTGTGTAAAATTGCTCAATTTTATAGGCACCCTATCTATAGGATGATGGGAAATAATGAGTTAATGTATTTCAACACATCAACAGACTAAAGAAAAAAACACACATCAAAAAGTGCAGAAAAGGCATTTGCTAAAAGCCAATACCCATTCAGCAAACTAGATATAGGAACTTCCTTGGCATCTATCAAAACACAAAAAGCCCACAACCAACGTCACATTTAATGATCAGAAGCTTGATGCTTTTCTGGTAAAATCAGGAATAGTGTGACAAGGATGTCCCTCTTCTTACCTCTGCTATTCAACACTGGTCCAAGTTAAGGCAACCTAAGAAAAGGTGGAAGGCATACAGATTGGGAAAGAAGACACAAGACTCTTTTTGTTTGCAGCAGACATTGTTCATGCAGAAAATCTGAGATAACTGACCAAAAAGACTTTCTTGGAATTAATAATTGCAGCAAAGTTGCAGAATTAAAGTTAATATATGAAAATCAATTGATTTTTCCCACATATCAGCAATGAAAGTAGAATTTGAAATTAAAAAAAAAAAACTCAAGGAAACATTTAAGTATAAATCTAACAAAATTTATACAAGCCCTATTTGTACAGGACCTATATGAGAAAAACTACTCAAGTCTAATGAAAGGTATCATAGAAGAACTAAATAAATGCAGAGATATTTCATTTTCTCTGATAGAATGACCCAGTATTTTCAAGGTATCAGTTCTTCCCAACTTCAATTACATAATACATGCAATCCCAAAGTCCCAGAAAATTATTTCATGCATATCAACAAACTGAT